AATTAAAAGGCACACTGTAATTACTGTGGTTGCCCATGTTCGGCTCTGAGTGAACAATGTAGTGTTTTCAATTAATTCACTTCTGATTGTGGCTTAAGAGTGGCATTATCTCTCTGCTCTCTGTTCCATTTGCCTAATGGTACATTTGTCTGGGAAGTCTATGGTGTAGGTCCATGTTACAATAAAATGCTATACCTTAATATAAAAAAAGTCTTTTACTTTATACTGCAAACAGTGCAATGTTAGTGGTGAGAGGTAAAGTTTAGTTGTAGAATAACCAGAGGGAACATTACATTATCATGTAGGTTACACATTCTTTTCATCTTAATCAATTTATCAGCCATCGATACAAACAACGTCGTGTAATCTCACGTCATGGTGGATGTTTTGGTCTAAAGCGATTTGATCATGGATCCCGAAGCCTTAAAAAACCTGAAACAAAAACTACTATGTGATCTAATGAAATTTACCTACTCATCATTTTTAAGCTGTTACCAAATCACGATCACATATAAGGCTGCTTGTTTTTTGTTTTCAAATTTTAATTACGCTGAAAATATTGGCACAAACACTATAAATGCAAAGTAAGAATGGATTTTGAATCACGGCATTGCCACTGACCAGCCTGAATGAGCAGGAACTCCTTGGACTCTGTGCCCATCTCATTTGAAGCAGTGCAGTTATAGCTTCCAAAGTCATTTTCAGACTCGGGGGTTATCTGGAGGGGGGGGGAGGGGGGGGAAATAAAGCAGTAAATATATGAAGGGCAGTATACCAAAACAGATGAACTAACTTGTGTGTCAAACACTGAAGGTGACCTTTTTGTTTGTCCATTAGAGTAGCCTATTTTTATTTGTTGCTGTGAGCTCTCCTGCTGCTGAATTATTCATGAGATTTTTTTTCCCAACAATGAAGCTGAAAGAAAACCCCACACTTCAAGTCTGTGCTCATGAAATCTTGATGACACATGGGGTTCAGAGTGTGTATTTGTGCACACTGTGTGTATATGTACATTCATTAGAGAGATAGAAAGAGGGATTAAGTCATGGTGTGACACGGGTGTTCGTACCTGCAGGAAGCTGGCTGAGGGAGTCCTGAAGATCTTAATGTTGGTGGTGTTTGAGTTGGGGAGCTGCAACCCGTCTCTCAGCCACACAATAGAGACATCACTGGGATGAGCCTTGACCTCACAGCTGATATTGGCAGGATTCCCCTCCCAGGTATACACTGCCACTGTACCATTTATCTTAGGAGTATCTAGGAAATAAAAACAGATACAACCTGTCAATCCGTTTCAGGTGTTATTTAACAGTTCAGTTATAAATAGTCATAGTGACTTGCAGTGCTATTTTTTTAATGACTAGTGCATGAGTGTACTCATTTTGTAGGGCTAAACACTTGTAAAAAGACAGAGGGAAACACTTACAGCGGACCTCCATATATGCTGTTTGATAATCCTCTCCGATGACGCTGTGTGCTGTGCAGAGGTACTGACCAGCATCTGTATACTTGACATACTTCAGAGTGAGGGAGGACACACGAGCGTGACTCCTCACCACTACGTTTCCATCCGGGCTCTAAATGGAAGTAAAAAGGGGCTTTGTTTAGTAAAAGAAACTAGTTAGATCAGTTCTTAAAAATAATATTATGCACATTTACATAAAGAATACAATTATGCCGAAACATGTGACCTTAAAAAAAAAGTATTTAAAGTCCACTTTTACAGAAAAGAACAGAAACTGAAAGAATGAAACAAGCACAGACTGTTCTGTAAAGCTGCAGAGACATAAGGGCCCAGTTGACAGTGCAGAGGAGCTTTTCAATAATTGATGTCAGAAGGCATTAGAAACCATCTAGTGCTTTTCACACACAGGGCTTACCAACTTGTGAAATATGCTGATGCATACTGGTAGACAGAGCATTACCTTACGTGTGGTGCTTGCACTTTTACACTAAAGACACTGGATTTAGTGTCAATCCACAACATTTTATTTCTTTAAGTTAATTACTTAAAAATAAAATGTTGTGGTGTTGTGGACTGTATTAGGTTGAGGAACTCTCTGAACCTATATCCAGCTCCAGTGTCAGTGAGGAAGAGGAAGCACACGCCAAGTCACAAAGCATCTGAAACCACTCAAATAACAACAGACAGCTGGCTAATGAGATGTGTAAATGCACTTCCCTCTCTAAACCTGGTTTCATTAACTTGATATGCGGTGTTACAGCATCCAAACATGAGTAGCTTCCCAACAGGGTCAACAACTTTGTGTTGTTGTGGTTGTTGTTGCCATGTGACACTTAACTGCCAGAGTGTAAAGTTTCAGACAGAATTTCCCCTTTCAACGATACATTTTCCTGTTATGTTATTACAATATTTCAAACAAACTCTGGACATTATTGTCTTGTGACAGATGTTTTTACTGAACATATCTATAATATCTAGCATAATTAAGCATTATTCACAAACTCTGTGGATTCGGGGCTTTAGCACAAAGCTCTTACACAGTAAGCTGCAGCATTTTTGTGAATTATTCCTTTAACAAGGTGCTGCAGGGCTGAATATTTGAGCCTCCCTTTTGGTTGCTTTTATGGCTTTGATCCAAGCTACAGGCAAAACAATAGCCGAATGCTTTTACACATATTGAATTAGGGCCCAGCCTGGGCAGCCATGTAAGAGAAACCCTTGTTAGTTTGTATTCAATTTCAATAGACAAAGCATGTCTGGGGCATTCATTATGCATAGCGGGTAGCAGGACCAGGGAGACACTTACATAACACGCTACCCTTGTATTGTGACCCCTGTGCAGGAAGCATTCTCACTCGACCCCTGTGGTTCTGTTTCTGACTCCTGCGTCTGTGCAACATGCCACACTATGCACAGCTATGTGCCATAGTAAGTGAGTTGACTTCAATATGAAAACCTTTTTTGTGTCCTTATTTTATGATAAAGTATGAGCAGTTTCTCCAGAGCTACAGCCTCTCGTTTCCTATATGAAACCCATCATGATTATTGTTATTTAGCAAAGAAAATGTATGCCTTCACGCAACTTAATATTGTGATTCATGCATTTTTTATAACAATATATTTTCAGTATAAACTCATAGTGCACCGGAGTTGCTGTCTACTGGAAACATCCGTGCTGAATTTTGTGCTCCTTGCGTAAAAAGGCATAAAACCATTTCGCACGTCTATGAGAAAAGGAAGACTTTCGCGTGTGCGCTCCTGTAATAAAACCAAACTGACAGCAGAGCTCTCCCACAGATTCTTCTGCTGTACCAACAGAAGAGACACAGAGGGAGCATCAGGGCATAAAATTGAGATTGCATTGAAGACATGTTAAACTCGTGTCTCACCAAATATTAAACAGCCCACAGTACAAAATCACCTTCCCTTCTGAGGCTTGTCAAATGAACACTAAGCTTCCTACGCCTATGCAACAAACATAGGCCCCCACCGCCCCCACAGTGCAATTTATAATGGGATGTCTTTGAGAGAGATGCGCACTTATCAATTCAGAGCACAGGTGAACTTTTAAAACAATATAATTATGTGAAGTGAGTGAAAATGTGAAGTAAGTAATTCAAAGTGATTGTCTTTTCCATTAATGTAAACCGTTCCATTTGTGACCTGAAACCACAAATATGCTGCTCAGATATGGGTGCCCACATTTAACTAAAATACTCCTCTTATATATATATTAAAAAAGGGAGGCATAACTCTTTTTAAGTAATGCATGTGTTCAGCAGTGGAACTTGCTGAGATCATCAGTCTTTTAAAAAAAATTGGAAAACTCAAGCAACTAGGATACGCTGTTTGAGCTTTTTGGGGTTGCCTAATTTAAATATAATCAGCAGATCATTAATGTAAATGTTCAGAATGATTCATTTTGCTCAGATTTTCAAGGTTAAAGTGTTCCAATTCCCAAATTCAACAGCTTAGTATTGCAGATGCACAAAAATCCAAGTGCATCCATGTGTAAATCATAGTTATACACAAACTGAGCAATTACTGTCAGCATGTGCCTGATGAGAAAGGCTCTTCCTCCCCTCCTGTGGTGAGCTGGGTGAGATTTTTTATTCCACACTTTCTGCAGGTGCTATTAATGAATGCGTATCAGCTGACAATCGTAATGAAAAAATATCAACAGCTGTCACGACCGAATAATTAAGGCCGACTGTTAGAAACACCCCTTCTTAAACCCATTAGCAGAAGGAGTAAAAGGAAAAGACCAATTCTCTTGATGTCCAGTGCTTCCTGCAATGTAAAAATAAAACAGCGTGGCTATTTAGGGAACCGAATGGGCTAAGAATACACATTCATATCTTGTTAAATGGCACTGAAGTAAAAATAGAAATGGCAACCCTAATATCTGATCTTGCTCCTAAAACAGAGATGGACTGATCAACAAGGCACTGCTTTGTGTGAGCGATCACTTCTCTTCAAGAGTCTGAATCCATTCTTTTTGTCACCATTTTTCTCGTCTGTAAAACACATTCTATAGGGAAGTGCTGTATATTGGAGAAAAGCTTATGTGGGCAGCTCTTTCACTTACTGCCAATTTTCGCTTTCTTTCTGAAACAGTCACTTGTTCTCATACTCTGTTGCTGCACAAAGGCAGCTTTTATTTCCTCCTACATACATATTTAGCCATGTTCAAATTAAACTACTGTATACACTAATGTCAAAAGTATACTCTGAAGTTATAATTAAGATTTAGCAATGGACAGGATGTGTGGGTGGGGGGACAGAGAGATCTGAGGAACAAAATCTATTTCTGCAGAAGACAAGTTGATCACATGGTATAACTGTAACTGTCATGCGCGTAATAAAACGCTTTTGCTGATGTCAAGGCATGACAGGTAAAAGGTCAGGAGAAAGACAAGAAAAAAAGACTGAAATAGGCTGCGATTTGTTAAGAAATTTAAGGAACACGGAGAGCAAAGAAACACAGACTTGCACTGTCCTGTTTCGCTACTGCTTCTCAGAGCTTATGCTCTCCCCCAACCTTATTTGAACAAGAATGTTGATCTGCATCCATCCAGAATTGAACTAGATTCCCCTGACATGAAAGATGGATGGGTGTAAGAAAAAGTCATGCATTTAGAATACCTTGTGTTGCTCAGGCCGAGTCCATGATGCCTGTAGAAGACAGAGAGACGAAAAAACAAAAAGGCAGAGCAATTCTTAGAAAGCAATCCTCATCCTGTCAAAGCTGGGATGTTGCACACTGCATCCCAGTTAAATGACCAGTTTATTTTTTTTTATGCATCTAAAGTACCTGAGCTGAATGTCTGAATTTACTAAATTAAGAGTCTGCAGACATAACGAGATGTATGCTTTAGATGTTCTCTCAAGGGAAGCCTATTTTAGGAAGACAGGAGTTTCTTTTGAAAGGGAAATTTTGTGGGGATGTTTACAGTCTGTGCCTGCCTGTACGTGAAGTAAGTCTTTTGGCATCGTGATAGCACAAATGCTTTGTGATAATAAGGTTATTGGTTCATCAGGAAGAGGTGAGTCTGGTACGCTGTAACAACAGAGTAATGTCTCCTTGGGTAATACAGGAATTATCGCCTCACAATCCATTTCTGAAGGCCGAAGCAATAATGTGAGCCCAAAAGAATGGAATTTACTCTTTATCTATGAATATAAAAAAGCCCTCCCAACATCGAGAAGCAAGTTAGTACCCTAGTCAATCAAGCCCTCTAACAACACTTGCTTGATATCTCAATAAGCAATGAAGGAGGTTCAAATAGGCAATTTGCTACAGCTCGTCCTCCACACCATGTGAGACCTGGAAATAAATCTCAGCCTACAGGTGGCCTTTTTAAGTCATTTTGAAAGTCCAATGTTCTGCTCATTGTTACTTCCACTATGAAGTTCTGTCTTTTCCTCCTTTGTCACTGATATGCTTTGATTGTACTCAAAAATAGCCTTAAAACAGCCAGGAAATGTGATTTGCATGATGAATAGCTATAAAAAATATAACGGCTTTCTCCTTGTTAGATGTGGACTTTTAAAATATTCAGTTTTTTTTTGTGTTATAAGAATGGATCCACTGAAGCTGTACTAACTGACCAAAACAATACTACATTTAAATATTCAGAATACTGTTTTTTAGCTATTCCGGCATAATAGCAAATATATGCACATACATTTTAGAAAATGACCACGTTAGAGTCTAATACAGGAAGAAAAAAATCACCTTTATCTAGACAAACAAGTGATTATCATCGACATGTTGGTCAGTAACGCATATATACTGACCAATAAAGAATTAATTTTACACCAAAGCACATAAAACGTCACACCTAAGTAACATGGCAGACATCATGCCACATTAAATCACAAGAGACTGCAAAGCCCGACTTTACAAAACAGAAAGCTTTTTTGGACAGCATGCTGTGTGGATTTTATGATGCTGAGGAAAATGTTAAGCATGACAATGAGATGTGATGGCCTACGCAGTGAAACCATTTTGAAGCTTAACAAGGAAAATGAGAAACAGCCATTTCATCAGGCGCAAATGCAAGAAAAGTCAAGTAAATGAAAGCAAATGGTGGTATCGCTGTAGGGCAAACAAAGTGACTCAAACCATCAATGTTCACATCTAAAAATCACCCCTATATTGTCCCCTCGCAATCACTGCAAAAGGACATATGGTGTGGTTGAATTCATCTTGTTTTATAATGGTTAAGTAGTTATATCACTGATGAATGTTAATCCTCCTCAGCGGTGAAAAATAAAGCCAATACCGAAGGTAGAAAGAGGAGGCAATAAAATTCTTATTAGAAGAGTCATGTCCGAAGCTTACCGCATGAATATAAATTCAGCCCTTTCTTAAGAGCAGTTTAACTCCCCTACTGGCACAATAAAATACACTGTGCACCCTACATCATTACAAGCAGCAGTTGGCTGCAAATCAGTACTGAGAAAGAGCAGTAGCCCAATTAAAACATAACCTAACAGTGTGGAACACAACCACCTCATTCACATCCTCGTCTGCGGCGCTGCCTCTGCAGTAAGTGAGCTGACAAGTATTGCTGTCATATCTGTGACAGGTGTTTGTTTAAGACAAAAGGACAATGAACAGCGGCGGATGCATGCGTGCAAAACAGAAGACGCCGTAACAGAATCACTTCTCCGAGCAAACGCGAAGAACAATATGGTGATGGCTCCCTTGGGACTTATCATTTTTCCAGCCTATTGTTCCTCCCTCATAGAGAATTAGCCCCGCTCTTTGTTCTGACATGAATTGGATGTCAGTTCAAAGAGGATAAAAAAGCAGACACACTAACACAAACACATAAATATAAAGAACCGCTTCATTTACTGAGTGAACCCCGGATGAAAAGTCATGATTATGCAAATTCTCAGTTTAGTTTCCTTCCTTGTCATTAAATGCTGAGCCTCAGAACCTTTGCAGTGCATCACAGAAAACGGACAAGCATTTTAGTTAGTGAAGACATTCTAGCATCACATCACTACTGAGCCAGCCAGCATGCTGTAAATGAGTAGCCTTTTGTGTTTGGAGAAAACAGTGCTCTCTTTGCATTAGCATGCAACACTTGAAGTACGCCTGTTTCAGATGCTCTGCCTGCACTGCTGCCACAAAACATTAAATAACAAAGCATCTCATTGTTTTGGTTTTTAATTTAACACCTTTTTTTTTTTTTTAGCTTTTAATGTTGTAAACCTCTATTTGAGACTATAAATTTTAGACAGGGAAGGTCTTTTAATACAGATTTATCTCCTTACAAAAAAGAGACACACTTCAAACACTATAAAATGCTGATACCCAATCAACTACAAACGTGAATGTGCTTTTAGGTTTTATAATTACTCATATTTCCCTGCAACTTCCTTCTGTGTAGTCCAGGATATTTTCCAATAAATTCTGCTTGAAAGTCTGCATGGAGCACAACATTTAATATGTATTCAAATAAGCAGAATATTCATTATGTAGATAATGTACAAAGCATGGATAAATAGTCCATTTACATTTTCAGTTATTAAACCGACACACTTATCTACAGCGACTTGAGCGAATGCATTCAAAGGGCTGAAGGAAACAAATACAAAATGTAAAATTGATGAAAGTTTTCAAATAAATATATAAACACTTAACTTTAATAGCTGTATAAACAAAAACAAAACTATCCCCTGATGAGCTCCAATTTGAATTTGAAGCACAACTAAGCGGGAATACACCCACAAGACCTTTTGAACATACTCCTTTTATTCTGTCTTTTTCATGTACAATACTACAGTTCTCTATTGTGCGATACAGTAATCTTCCTCAATCCTCACATTGTGTTCCCCCTTACTCGCGCGCGGTTAACGAACAATGCTTTTGTGTGCCAACACTTTAGACTTTTGAGTAGGGAGTTGTTCAGAATGAATTAGTCTCTCTTTACGTTAACCTTTAAAACCCAAGACCACAGTAGACTGGGAACAAATTCAAACAAAGCCAGACAAAGATTGTGAGAACACAATGAATAGCTAATCTAGCTCAGAATGCTTCAGCCTTCACATAGACCACCTTGGTTTTCGTAAGGCATGCAGGTCATGTAATACACACATCCTTTTAATAAACAGTGATCCAGATGTGGCAGTTAGCAGGCAAAAATGTCACACGAATAAACATGGATATGTTTTTTCATGTTTTCAGAAATGTCGGCTTTGCAAAGATTCTCTAACAATCTGTTACCTCAGGGTAAGACACTGTTTTGGAAGGTGGCATTCAACATAAACACAAGCCTCATCTGTTTAATCTGCATCTTTAATAACCCTGTAAGACATGCTTTTTAAGGGTTTTCAGTGTACTCAAACTTTAAAGAAAACAATAAACATGTAGAAATGTCTTCCCATAATTGGTTTCTGAGGCTGTTTTTATTTCTTCAAAATAAGTATCTTTTTTTATTACAATCAATCTGAGCATTGAACTATGAACAGTTATAGCTCCGCTCAGATGAAAAGTGGTAAACTGAAGCACTATCTAAAGCTGATTACTTAATTGTTTAGCTGTGTTGTGTATTGTCATTGTCATACTGTGAAGCAAAGGTGATCAGAAGCCTTTATTTGTATAAACTAAACTGCATTCGTTTTGCATAAAAATCTGATATGAGTAATGATTTCAAAAAAGAAAGAAAAAAAGAAATGAAAGCAGCTGATAAACTAGGGAGCCGAGGAGCTGAAAACACATTAGAATAAACTGCTAATTAATTCTGTCCTTTCATCACCACCACAAATCTACATCTGTACCGGTTTTCTGACAAATACTAAAATCTCACATTATTAACAGAAAAATGCCTCCCTTTACATCCTTTTTCAATTCACCATGTTCACCCCAAATGAATGTCGTGTCATTTGTCACACTCAACCTAGATGAAATGCAGCTGTTGTGATGATTACAGATAGCGTGGCGGATGGACGTCGGATGAACAAATAAAACAAGACAATTAAACAATTAGCAGCCGTTTCCCATTCATTGAAAGCCCACCATAGAAATGATTTCCCCTGCTCAGAATCACAACTACGAGGGAAAATCTAACCAGTATGCATCTACGTGATTCGGTAAGGCTGCTAATCATTTCTTTGAAGACTGCTGTGAACAGACACCACATATAAAAGCATACCATAGGCGGCACCCCAAAACACACTGCCACCATTGCGCAGCTGGCCATCACGACATGTGTCATGTCAACAACTACACAGTACAAAATTTGTGGGTAATGCCTATTATAGCCCGTTGTTTCCTATGTGTGTTGTTTATTTATTCTGCCCTGCACCTGTAGAGTCAATCTACACTGCTACAGTATAGCATGACTGTGGTCAAACTGTGGGATATAAGCCTCAAGACCACAATACAAGCTGTCCTGTCATTGACAAAAGTGGAAGCCGATGTAAAGCGGGGTGGAAATTTATTCTACAAAACAAAATTTTGCTCAACACTAAGTAATAGGACAGAAGTAAGAATCGTAACTAGATGGTGCATTCATGTACGCCAATCTGTGTAGGTACAAAAAAAGGGGGTGGGGGACCGTCATGATGTGCGTCATATGGTGGCAGTGTGTTTAGCACTTGTGAGTGAGGCTCCACTCAAAATATATTTTTAAATATCAAACAATCTGGTGGTTTGACAGGTGGCTGTAAAATCTTCTACTTTCACAGTGAACAGCTGCTGCAGTCTGCTCAGTTGCAAGGGACTCTAAAAGTGACCCGTTTTTACTGTTGAAAACATGCCCATTAAATCTCTTCCTGCAGTTCTATGATTATTATGTTTCAGTCATATTTTACCTTTGCTGCAGGGTGCAAATGTTTGATACCCAAAAGATAGACTTTAGGTGGAGCACTTTTACCCTCAAACTTTGAAGTGACACTGACATAAGTGTTAGACAATCTACAATCTGATGGAGATGACAGACAGACTGAACCGGGCTTGAATCCAAGCGACCTCATGCTGTGATTGAAAGTGTGAAATGATCAGGAAAAAGCGACACAGAAATGGCATTTTCCCTTTTATTATCTTATTAACCAAATTTTCAACTGATCTCGTGAGATAAGCTCTGCGCACTTGCTATCCCGAGAACAGTTGAGGTTTCCAGGCAATATTTGGAAAGGATGCGGCAGTCAAATCAATTTCATGAACTCTGATGAGATCATTCCTTGGGGTTTTTCAAGAGGCAGCTGGGAAATTTTCAATAAAAAGGGATGATTTGATTTCAGTGGGAGTTTTTGTCATATCTGGAGGCAAATTTTACAACACTACTCCACTACATTTCTGTGCCACGCGGATTTTTCCTACCTGATAGATCCTGTTTAGATGTGCCTGTAGGAAAAAAATGTAGCGCATGTAATGGACTGGCTCAAGAATTTCTCTATGAGCTAGAAGCATTAGGCTCAAGCATTTTCCTCCTCATTACCTCCCAACTGTAGCAACACACCAAGGCCTTGGAGAGTCAGGCCAGGTGGGACATAGATGTATGAGAATACAAATCAAGTATTCACTGCTTTTGATGGTTTGCACATGGAGTAATGCAGAAGACCCAAGAGAACAAACTGGAGTATCAGGATGTAATGGAGGGTAAGAAGCTGGCTCTTGACCAGTGCAGAGCCAAAACAAATTTAAAAGATGGCAGCAGAGTATAGACAAATAACAATTTCATATAAATCAAAAAACTTTTCAATCACTGGCATGAGAAGAATAATGGAAATAGTGATTGAAAGTGCTAAACAAACACTTGAACGTTCAAGTGCTCGTTCAAGCAAATACAATAGAAAGCGGGCAAAGTTTAATTATCGTCTTAATTAACATGCCTTTTCTGGGAATGTTATAATTAGGTTTCTGTTGCTGATTTTCGTGACATTTGAGAAATCTCAAGTCAAATCTGAATCTATTCCATATTACTGACTGACTATAATTGAGCTAATTACATGAGATCCACTGGGCCATCTCAAAAGAATTGCTAATTTAGGGTTCTGATCCGTTCCCGCCAGAGGCCCGTGCGCCTGCTGGTTCTGATCCGTTCCTGCCAGAGGCCCGTGCGCCTGCTGGTTCTGATCCGTTCCTGCCAGAGGCCCGTGCGGTAAATAATTAGCAGCACATAAACCTTGTTGGGGGCATTCTGCAATGAAACTGCAAGCTGAGTCCCCCACCTGCAAGTAATCAATATACCACTTCAGTTTAGGTTAAAGATATTCAATTCCTCTCCTCGAGACACCGGTGTCCTGCAGGTTTGTGTTGCTCCCTTGTGGGTACGACCTAAATGTGTCCCAATTTCACATCACCCACAATAAGGTATAGTAAAAAAACAATGTACTTTTTCCATTTTGTACACAGAGGAACAGATGCATTAAAAGATAAAGATAAAATTGCAAACTGTAAAGGAAATAGGTGTCTTTGGGCATTATCGTTTTTCTTATTAGTTTTATTCATCGCTAATTTTTTGTTATGTCATTTTCTCTTAATAACATAGAAAAAACTTAAAAACATAGGGGTTAGAATATATTTATAGTATGCAACTGGGACACAGACTATATCAGACTACTTTGCACCAGGTGCAGTTCATTAACTCCAGAAGGAAAAATGCATACAGGCACTCAAGGACCAGGATTGAGTGCCTAGGATACATAAGTATCTTGCTACTACTGTTCACTCGCCTCCCTGTTATCATTTTACCTGCTCTCCTTCTGTGAAGACATGACCTCCGTAGCTCCAGGTAATGGTGGGAGTTGGGTCCCCCGACGCCTCGCAAGTCAGGGTTACCTGTTCTTCCATCTCGGTAGCAGTCTGGTTTATGATGTATGTGATGTTAGGTTTGACTGTAAAACAAAAACCCAACGTCATCACACCTGCTCCATATAACAAGGCAGCCAGGTGTTACAGCCGCACGAGTATTATAAGCACAAGAGAAACTCTAGATTTGAAATGAGTTCAAAGAGGGGATGAGGATCAGTAGTTGACAGGTAAGGGGGATTTTTATGGCAGTAAACCTGTATTTAAGCTTTCCCAGTCCCAGCAGCAGTTACGCTGTGATAACCATGTGTGCTTCCAAACGTAATTTGTGTAATAACTTATTTAGCCTATCTCAAAGGCGCCGGCTTTCATTTTTGTTTACATTGGAGACAACTGTCAAGTTACACTACACTCGAGTTAACCTGAAAGCGCGGCGGGGTGCTGCAACGGTGACATGAGCCGAGCAAACGGAAGTGCTGTTTACGAATCAGTTGAGCATTACTTCGTGCTCCCATCTTTTCTATTCCGCTCCAAAAAGGATGAATGCATGGATTATGCAATATGCTGAAAAAGCGCAGCCCCAGACAGGATCGTAAATATAATTTGTAAGCTGCCGCCTAAGAAAACAACTGCGACTTGGTTTTAACTCCTATGATCTCAACTGATAATTATTAAATGAATGAAGAAGCAGCATTTAAGAACTTGTACTTACAGCCATGACTGTCAAAAGGCAGTCAGCACGATTCAGATCATAGCTTTTTAAATAGACTGCATGAGCTATTTAAAGCCTGATCCATTCCAATACTTTATCATAAAAACATTAGGTACATAGGTTTTACATTCAGAAATGTTAAGGAGCTATTTGCTATTTGCTTGGCTAATATCATTCTATGTATTCCAATTTCCAAAGGCTCATAAAACTGATTTTCTAAGATTCTTAGTTTAAGGTTTTATGTCACATAAAAGCATACCCCTAACTTAGACTGGTTTTGGTAATTTAGTATAGGTACACTTCAGTTTTATATTAAACAGCTGATATAAAAAGGAGCCCAAGAAGGGTGTTGTTTTCGGGTGAATTTGATGGAGAACATGGGTGAAAGGACAGGCTTGGGGCTCTGGTGGAATCAGTGCATAAGTAGCCATGACCAGTATCTGCCTGAAGACTAATGTTGAGAGTAGTTAGTAAATTGGATTGGGTAGCTTGCCCTCTATTGCTTGTATTTCACCCTTGCACCTGTTCCGGCACACGTATTAGTGTTCATCTGTGGATTTACAGCTTTACAAATAACATGTCTAGCATTTTAAAAGGACGGCTGATGGCAGGTGGATGAAAGAGAGACAGAGGCCAGCTTTTATAGGCTGTAAGACCCAGATTAGTTGTATTAGCTGATGACCCAGCCCCCAACCTCCCAAGGCTAGCGCAGTGGTTGAAGAGTTAAAATAATTAATTTATATGCAATTGCTTTTTCTTGACCTAGATGGAAAATGTCACAAGGTTGAGAAAAGATACGATAGAGAATTTAGGATGAAACTACACTATCTCTAAGAAATAAACCAAAAAATGTCAGGTCAAAGTCAGCCTCATTGTCAAAAACCATATGTACAGATCATACACAGGAATTTGAAACTTCCTCTTAATGTTACACTAAAACAACATAAAAGATAAAAAGATGTATTGTTGCATCAATAACCTGCTTTCAGCCTGTATTTTCTTCCCTTATTGAAGAGATGGGCCACTTTTAATTTTTACCTTTATTATCATTGCTGCATACTTTAAATAAAATTGACGAATGAGAATCCTAAGAGCTGGGAATACAGCAATTCCCAAAAGGAGGTTGTAAATTTACCCGTGCACACGTTTTTTTAAAGAACTGAAAGAAATCTTTATACATGTTAGCAAGAAATGAATGAGATGGAAATCACAGTGTGATGATTTGTGCCATTTGTCAAGCAGGTTGTTTTTTGTGAACACTCAGTGTTTCAGCATGATCTCATTTCTTTTCACTAAGGATGGTCTACTGTATCTTCAGCTAAGCACTGAAGCATCTGTCCTTAGTATATAGAGAACCTGACTAGTCCTCCTTGTGGCTAACACAATACTTCCAGGGATCTACTCCAGAAGGGTTTGGAAAAAACTGAGCCTGTTAACCAAGAGATGAGGGAAACGCTGGGTTTTCTGTTCTAGAAAAAAAAAATCGACTGTGACCCAGTAACGGACACCATGAATCTAACCTGCTCACTGACAAGTTTTCTTCCACAAACTTTGAGATTCTCTCTAATTTCTCCCTCCCACTAAATCTGAACCAGCTGACTGACACTTAATCTCATTTCCTCATTCTTAAAGTCACTTTTAAAGAGCATACTAGAACAGACTACAGGTCTGCAGTCTGTTCTTAGTATTTTGGGCATTTATCTTTTTACAAATATTTAAATCCCAGTTCATCAGTTCATTATTTTCTGTGTGTAAAATGACCAGATTTATAATCAGTGATTTATTATCAGCTTAGAGTAAAATCTATGGTTACATCTTTCAAACTCTGTGACTCTGTGGACATTAAGGCAGCTGTCAGGTTGTCAGTCAATTCCCCTGCACTAAAACATTTACTGTATGTTACTGGAGCAATCATGCTTTAAATAAACCGTATTTGTATAAAGCTTTAGACACATAATATACGGATCATTCATCAATCATTTGTCATAGTGTAATCTATCTCACAGATGAAAAGATGTCTGTCATAGAGATGATGTGAATATTTGAGTGAAAATGAGCCTGAAATGACTTTAACACTGAACTAAATGCAGTTTAAAGGAACATTTTAAAGGCTACTGACATACTGATTGTATTCTGATTACAATTCACGCTGAAATATGTTGACATGTGGAAATGCAGTCATTAAATCCTGTCAAGAAATATACTGAAGGGTACAAAGTCTGAACATAACTGACAAATTTATCACCAGAAGCACACTTGGTGTGTCTAACTAATATCCGATCCGCAAGTAAACAAATTCTTATCTGTTTGATTCATATGTTTGTCGTCAATTTCTGCCACCTGCTTTTGTCCCCGTCAGGTTACGGCTGAATAATTAGATTTACTAGATAATTAATTTCTGATGTAAATACTGGGTTGGATTCCAGCTTCATCTAATAAAAATTCTAGTTATTTAAGTTCAAGCTAATTAAAATGACTTTTTTCTGTCTCCCACCTGTTTTTTTGTTTTTGTTTTTTTAAGATGAATGGCATGGTCTACATTGAAACACATTCATAATTCTTGGTCCAGTAGATTAAAATGGAGGCTCTGCTCTTTGTTTACCCATTGTAAATGGTAAATCTTGGTATTGGAGCATCACTGACGATGGCTTTCTAAAATATACTCATGACTGATCCAGACACATTACTAAATACATTGTTTTGATGGATCATCCAGGTGAGGAAGACTGTTTACCTGGACGTTCTCCCACTGAAAACGCTACATCCAGATGAACAAATCAACTTTTTGGGGTTACTACATACAACTTCCTCCAAGAAAGATCCTGTGCCACCACAGAAAACACAGGATTGTAGCTTTTGCTAAACGGAAGTAAAGAAACCGGAGCTTTGTGGAAATATTTCACAAAATAATGTCTTAAATGATGGCAACATACAACAGTCATTTACTAACTCTAAAGAATCGAGCTATTGCCACTTCTCTTGATTTGAAAAATAAACTCCCTCGGCTAGTTCACTGATAAAGTACCAAAAGACTGGCACTGATACTATAATTGGGCTTTAAATTATGGTCACTTTGAAGTGACAAGAAAACCTAGTGGGCAAAAACAAAGGGGGAAAAAAGGAGTTTAAAGATTTCAGCTGAGCTCATCCCACTTGGCTTGCTCTCTAAATCCTTAGGCTCCATCCCAACATGAAACAATCACAACCCACACCGACACACCGTATTTTGAATGCCTAAGAAAACAGACACAAAACCGTACTATTGTTCTTCTCCCACCTACATACACATATACCTCATTCCCACACACTTGGAGCATTTTATAATTCCACTTTCGTTCATGTAAATATACAAAACAATCTGTCTTACCAAACACTTTCAGACTGAGTTCCTTTTCAGTTTCTCCAGCCTTGTTCTTGGCAATGCAGGTGTACTCTCCTTCATCCAGTTTGGTAACATCCATTATCGTCATTTCTGAGCCATCTTCATTAAAGCTGTACTTCTCTCCTGCCTCGAGGTTCACTTCGTTCCTGTAGAAAAGGCGAGTGTTAAACCCTGTATCCATTTATCCACACAAATTTGAGCACTCTTCTTCAGCTGCAAAATTTTCAGAGATTTACTTTTACCAGAATTTCAAATTTCATCATCCGTCCATCTAAAAAAAATCTAGTTATGTACATCTATAGACAGACCAATAGTAGTTTCATGATCACCAAATTACAAAGTGAAATTACAATGTTAAAAAACCATAATATTCTTTGGCATTCTTTGGCACTCCTTTTGACATTTGTTGTTTACATTCAATTCTACAAAAACATCTCATTTATTTTTATTCCGAGTATAAATTATTAAAAAAAGGCCAACTTTTGGCTCTTGAATTGTCTGCTCTTTGTGACCCTGGATCTAAGTTTTGTGCCGTGTTAACAGATGAACAAGAACAGTTTAACAAAGCAGAAGCCTATCAATGGCTCCATTCAGAGCCACTGATAGGCACAGAATAATGTGGCTATTGTTGTCATGCTAGTCTTCATGTTTCACTGTTTACATGCTCCTTTGATATCCTGTGATTAAGTATCCTACTGCAATGAATAAATCAGTTAGTAGAGTATCCCAAATAACCTAGAGTGCCCTGCATGCACATAATAGTTACTTTGACCTGTAGGCTGGACTGAGGTAGTGCACAGAGCCAGTAGCATTCCTGTTACATTACTGTATAGATATTTTCATGGACACTGGGTTTGACTATTCAGATAACTGCATGCTAAAGTCTTTATATAGACAAGTACTGGATGGGAAACTCAATCCAATAAAGCATTATCATATAGCTTTTCTCTGAAAGCAAGGCACCCAGCAGCCTATATTTAGTGGGCTATTCGAACTACAGGTTAGTGATAGGGGAAGGGTTGAAAAGTGTGCACTTGCCACTTCTAACGCATTATACAAATTATACTGGAAATTAGTCATTTTTGTTCAAAAAGACCAATGGAAAAAAATGTCAAAAAGAAAAAAAATATGTTCACTTATTTTCAAGATGATACAAGCTGATATTTGGTCAGTACACATACAAACTATGCAGCTCATTATTTTTGATTAGCCCTGCCTCATTAGTCTGTTGCTGCCAGCTTTTGTCTCTCCTGACGCCACGTGCAAGTCATTTGTGGTGTTTACAACAATTGCCTTTACAGAGCCGACACCCGCGATTTTAACGAAACGGTTCTATGAATTGAAATGTTGGTCTGGCAGTTGGTTATTCCCGAATTCACTGCAGTTCAGACAGAAATATGTATTTGATTGCTGTTAAAAATGTACTTTTGTTCAGAATGAAATGCGTCAATAATTATTAAAAGAATTACCATAGAAGTTTTTTTTACGTATGTAACCCCCCAGAATTAACCGTAATAACTTGCTACATGTAAAACTGATGACACTTCCATAATTATCAACTTTGCTTTTTGTTTAATGTTTATTAGCTGATGTTAGCACAGCATCCAAGGGTGCCGATGTGGACATTTGTCAGCATTTAGCTCAAAAATCTGATGTAGCTGCTTATGCTATTAGGTAAGTTCGGCAGTTATATAAAATTAAACTTGATTAACTGATTTGTTTAAACTTTAACAGGGTTTAAATTAACTAACTAACTAACTTAAGAAAATAAGTGATCTTTACAAGTCATCCTACACTTGCCTGCCACTTTGTTAGGTACATCTGTTCAACTGTTCATTAGTACAACTATCCAAATAGTCAATCACTTGGCTCCAGCGCACTACATTTAAGCATACAGACTTCAACAAGATGACCTGCTGCAGCTTAAACTGAACTCAGAATGGTGAAGAAAGGTGATTTAAGTGACTCCAAATGTGGCATAGTTGTTGGTATTAACCAGGCTGGTGTGACTATTTCAGAAACTGCTGATCTGGGATTTTCCCCCACAACCAACTCTAGGGTTTACAAACAATGCTCCGAAAAAAAGGAAATATCCAGTGAGTGGGAGTTTGTTGGGTGAAAGTGCCTTGTTGACGCCAGAGAAGAATGGTCGGACTGCTTCAAGCTGACAGAAAAGTAAGAGTAATCCAATTAAAAAGACACAGGCAATAAATGCAGCAAGTGATGAGCCACAGCAGCAGAAGGCCGCACCGGGTGTCATTCCAGCCTGCTAAGAACAGGAAACTAGAATAGAAGATTGCCAAAATGTCGATTGGTCTGATGAGCCTTATTTATTGCTTCAGCATTAAGATGGTAGAGCCACAAATTGATGTAAACAACACAAAACGTGAATCCTTCCTGAAATGTTTAGGCTGATGGTGATGATCTAATAGATGTGGGTAATATTTACTTGGCTGCTTAGTACCAGATGAGTATTGTTTAAAAACCTCAAACTACCTGAATAGCTGACAATGTCCATCCCTTTATGACCACAGTGTACCCAACCTCTAATGTCTGCTTCCTACAGAATAACACCATGTCACAAAGCTCAAATTGTTGTTTTTGGGTTTTTTGAAAATGACAATGAGTTCATTGTGCCAAAATGTCCTCTAGAATTTAATTCAACAGAACACGTTCAGGATGTGATGGAATGAGAGATTCACATCATAAATGTACAGCTGACACAATTTGCAGCAACTGTGTGACCCCATCATGTCAGTATGGACCAAAACTGAGCTCTGAAGGCAAAAAGTGATCTACGAGTATAAATCACATCAATGTACAAAGATGCAAATGCCAAAAAACAACAATAATAATAACAAAAAGGTATTTACTGTACTTAGAGGATATGCAACCGAAGATATTTTATTATTAGGTTTACCTTGTCCAGGTCACCATGGGTTCAGGATAACCATCAACAGCACAAGTCAGGATGGCCGGCTGCAAAACGTCTGCTGTAGCATTTACCTCTGACTGCCATATCCTGATTGTCGGGAGCACTAAGGTACAAAGGGAAAAATAAAATAGGCAGACACATATGCAGAATATAGTATAGCTCTAGATATAAAGACAGCAAGTGAGAGGAAAACCAGAAACAGAAGCAGTGACAAATTCAAAATACTTATTTTAGACACACTCATTTGCTAGGCTCAGAAGTTACAGGAAACAGACTTCATTAGCATGAAACATCTTTGATACACGGTTGCTCTGGGCAACTGTTTCCACATTGATGTTGAGCCTGGTCGCCTCTAAGGATCTACAGCTTATTTAAGCATCACGGGACACCTGCCACACACAAAATATTCAGACAAGAACAAAAAGGAAGAGGAAAAAGCGTGAGGGGAAGAGAGGGTCGCTAACCATTCACAACGACCTTGATGACACGCAGATCAATCTCGCCGCGCGCCATCAGGCGACCCTCGCAGGTATACAAGCCCTCATCCGTCTTCTTTATACCACGGATTTGAAGGTGATTGTTGTTCAGTACTTTAAACCGAACTGGAAGGAAGCAAAAGATAATACATCTTCAGGTGTGCATATTTGGCAAGTTAATAACAGCAGTAAATGCTACATGATAAACAGCTGTTAGCAAAGAAGTGAGTAAGGCATCAAAAAAGAAAACTCCTATCTGAATCAACCAAGCTATAAAGACTTTGTTTAACTTAAACATTTTAACAATAACATCTTAGTCACTGAAATGTTTGGTGACAAAAACTGGAATGTCATTTTATTGCTCATTTGATATTACCTTAACTATCAAATTTGAGGCCATAAATCCAACAATCATTTTACGAGCTCCAGAAAAACAGAAGAGAATCTAAGCAAAGCCCACATGAACTCCTTCAGTCTGGGATAAAATGTGAACCAAATAAATGTAGTCACATAATGATCAAAAATACTACTGCAACCCACACATAAGCGCATGTTATTATTTTTCAGTGAGCAATAACACTGCTGTACACATTATTATACTGCTCAGTGTCAAGGGTGAATAACAGAGAGTCAATTGTATTTTCAAATTCAAAATCAAATTAATTTTCCCTTTCAAAGCACAGGGTAAATCTCGGAGAAGAATGGCAACAAAAGCAGCGGATGAGTCATTTTATGACTCAAACACCAGGATCTGTGTATGCATATATATGTATATTATTAAATATTTCGTTGGCTGTGTGTTTTTGTTTATGTAGTGCATTTTTACTACAGTTTCCATTTTGCCTTATAATCTGTTTTTGTTTTATTTTGGCTGTTAACATAAGTGCAACACTACAATATCACTGAGTTACATCTTGATAATGTTGCGGTCATCTCACATTTTGATTCACCAAACTGCAGCCATCAACATAATCTCGTGGCTAACAAACAAAATAAACAATAAAAAAAGCAAGCTATAACATCCTGAGAAGTAATGGTCAGTATGGCTGAAATCATCTTATTCCCTCCTCATTAATTCTGAAATGTGTTCACCTAGTTGTTCTGTGTTATAATCAACTGAAAACAAACTGAAATATAAATTCTGCATTGCTCATAAACTTACCATCTTTTTCCATCTGTATTTTCGCTCCTTTATATTTCCAGAGGACAGTGGGTGGAGGTGAACTAACAACATCACAAACAATGTTGGCATTGTCTCCTTCAGTAAACTCTTGGGGTGACGGTGCGTTTTGAAAGGTGATTTTTTCTGGAATAAAAAAAAAAAAAACAAGCACATTTTTCACTCAGTGACATAACGAGGTTCATTAAAGCTCTTTCACTCTCTATGATTGCCCTGCTATGGCACTATGTTTTAGTGAAACACTATCTTTAAAAGTAGTGCTGTCTATGTTAATAAATCACAACTGAAAATGATCAAACTGAAGGAATGCTTAACATTTTTTTTTTACCAAAAATCTCATTCATTTTATTATCACCCTAAACAAGCTCCCCTGGCTCAAGATACCAGAACTGAAGCAATATCTAGCCAAGCCATTTCTAAAATTGACTGGTTAATGGAATTTGCTGGAAGCTTTTTAGAAAGAAGCAGAACTGCTACCTGACAGACTTCAGCAGGACACAAGTGACAGAATTGGATTCCGAACTGGAAAGCTATAGAGCTATCTCATCAAGGCTTAACATATGAAGCCATTTAGCTGTAATGCGCAGCTCATTTCTTGAAATGGTCAGTAAAAGTTTAAATGTAAAGTCTGCTCCTGTTAAACTGGCCGTCTTCATTGTGCAAAAGCAGTTATAAGTTATCTCTTATATGGCTTGCAAGCTGTAGCACTGAACTAACTATGCAAACTGCTGCTGGTACTGTACAAATGTTCATTCACAGGAAGTTGTGATGTTTTGTACACTTCTTTGCACAACATTGTGCATCGCTGTTAATATGGGTGACCACTTCTAATAACATCCTGAAACAGGCCCCGAAATAACAGAAAAGTTCTGTTTGGAAAATAATTTCATCTCTGACGGACAATTGCTGATGCTTGGCATTCATGGAAAATAAAATCCATTACTCACAAGAACTGCACAACAGACAGGATCATTAAGCAGCCTTCTAATGGTCTTCCGACCGTTTATTGAACTGATGAAAAATCCATCCTCACTTGAAAAGAAAGAATAATGTGTTGCCCTTGAGCAGTCAATAAAATACTATGAGTTCAATGAGCAGGATTCTTTTTCTTCTGTGTTCACACCACTCAGTAATTTGGAGTGTGTACCGTATACTGTGGGGTGGGGGTGGGGGGGTGGGGGGGGACTTACGGAAGATCTTCACTTTGACTGTCGACTCCGCTTGCTGGTCTCCATTGATAGCGACACACTTGTATGTCCCAGCACTTTCCGTCCCGGCTTTATACAGCGTGAGGGTGGAAGATGACTCATCGTTACGGGTTACTGTTGTGTCTTGTCTGTTCGGCTCTATCCTGTCCCCGCTTGGTCCAAACCAGTCTATGTGCTTGGCAACGCCTACAACTAAGACAACAGACAGAACAGAGCAGTACATAAGAAACAGGTGTCTATAGGGTAACACATTTCAAATCAGAGCAGTCAGCCACTGCCCACAGACTGTACATTGTAGGTGGTTCGTGCTCCTGCAAGGAATGAAGCGTGTGCTTTATGCATTTTAGCTGTGTCTAGTAACTAAGACATCAGAAAATGTGATATGTTTTCAAGGTTTGATGCTAAACAAACAAACCAAAAAAAAAAGGACACTTAGTCTCATCATTCATTGATGACTGATTGATGAATGTATGATACACATTCAAGTAACCGGAAAACCACTGAACATAAAATATGAAGGGGGGTGTAGTTGTCCACTTTAATCCTGCAGAAGAGGAAGTGTGGCTGATCAAGCAATACTGTGTATTTGTACCACAAACATCCATGCATATTTATCCATACACCTAACACATGGATAAATATGAACTGATTCCAACAGAAACACAGACCTCTGCTATGTTTTGTCTAGTTTAACCACATACATACACATACACATTTTTTGCAAAACAGTCTAAAAAGTGGGTGAACAGTTAAGGTGCAGTTAAAAAAAAAAAGTATATATATATATATACACACACACTTGGAACATTTTGATAGACTTACCTTCACACACAAAGAATTTGGACTCTCCAAGACTAATCTCACCGTGGGTTGGTGTGATCTGTACTTCCAATGAAACTGCAACAGAAAAACAAACATACAATACAAAATTAGAATCAACCCACTAAGTGAAGCGCTGATTAAGAATGCTTAACAATGTTTCAACACTGAGATGGAACAATTATTAAAACAGGAAACAAGCTAATTAGATGCGCAAATGTCTGCATATCAATGTGTTCCATCTATATGCAAAGGCAGAAGCAATCACCTGCAGGCAATCAGAAATACGACTGTGGGGTTCTTTAAAAATATATTTTAAGGTCTTCGATTTGCTCATGTTAAGAGCAGCACTTGAGTGTATATCTTATTTCCTCCAGAACCGAGAGTGTACCTTCAATAGCACTTTTAATTTCTACTGGAAAGGATCCAAAGACTTGCTGGAGCCAGCATCTATCTACACTTTACTGCACTTTAAGGAATATGCTTCAGTTTTCTGCCACATAAACCTGATATTATCTTTGTACATTCGTCCATATTTTTTTTACCGAAACTTAAAATGCAGTACAAACAATAAAATCAATCAACGTGCACATTCAGAAAACAACAACAATGCCAGTTTTGGCCCTAGCAGACATGTCACCAAAAAAATGGACATTTCCTTTTCCTCGGTTGCCTACAGTCCTCCTGTCCTATCAAGAGAAATAACATCAACGCAGCAATGCAAATATTCCGCTAAAATTCAGCAGCTGGACCCAGTGCTGTGCTCCCAGTGTACCTTGAGATGAATTATTTTTAAAAGACTATTTAATTTTTAGAAATGACATCGTCTGGCAAGATGAATGTAATGTCTCTCAGTGATAGCCTGCACTTCATCAAAGATTGGATGAAAAAGAGATTTGTATTATCTGACAAAGAGAATGATGCCCTGAAACATTTTGTACTTAATTAGAACAAAGTGTGACTTGCTTCCTGCAGAACCTCCCAAGGGGGCACTCAGGGTTCCAGTGGATGATTAAGAACGGTGTCGAGATTGACCTGAAATCCCACTCTATATCATGCATGAGCAAGACTGTGTGGCTGTGTACCAAACTAAAGGTCAAGGCAAGAAGGTCTCCATAGGGGCATCGATTGACACGGGAAAATAGCACAGTCAGTTAAAAAAAAAAAAGATGTCTGGAGCTGGCAGAATCATTTCTATATTGTCGACTTTTTATTGTTTTTATTGTTTGTGGAGCAAACAGGTAATAACTGATTTTATTTTAGCCAATTTGTTTCAGGTCTTCCCACAAAAGTGACACATCCCCTTAAATATAAAGTACAGTTCAAGGTTAAAGAGATTAAACAAAACCCAACAATATTGTTGTATTATGTTCAATTTTCTCACGCTCAAATGTGATATTCACCAAACGACCGTTGTATCTGCAACAGAATTCTGTTTGAGTCACCAAATACAGAAGGAAGAACTCTTTAAATATTACAAACATGTAGCTTATCAGATTCACCTACACACACACACACACACACACACACACACACACACACACATACATACATACATACATACATACATATATATATATATATATAAAACTACATATAGTCACAGAAAGATAGATAAATATTTAAATATATAAATTTATAAGGAGGCTGTAGTTTGAAATTAAATAATCAGAATGCAGATATTTAACAATACTTTAAATTAGATTCTATTCTTTTTTTTACAAATCTGCACAATTCCTTTCTTTAAGCTTGCCCAATAAACTGTAAATAAATATGTGAAATATAAGCAACTACTCCAATGCTAAGCTAAGCTAACATATGTGTGTATATTTTTGTTTTGTTTGAGAGGATGATACCAGAAATTCTGGATATATTTGCTTAATAGATTAACTGTTGATCTATAAATCCTTTCGGCTCTTTACCCAAACTTAAAACCGATGCAATTACTGATATGAAGCTGAAAATAAAATGTTTGCTATATTTTTTTTTTAGTGACTGGTACTGTGTCGTATTAATGAAAAGACAGTTATTCAGTTGTCTTACAGTTGTATTTTTAAATGTGCCTGTCATTTCACTTTTATCAGAAGGATTTTATATTCAAACTGATGGAACATAAAATCCTGATATCAACACTCTTGTCATTCTTTTTAAATACAAGTGTCTAATAAAAATAATGTCATGCTAATTTTATGGAAAGGGTTTATGAATTTAGTTTTAATTGGACTAACGAATGAGAACAGTTTGTATTTATTTATTTAGTCAAACAAACAGGCAACTAATTTGCAGAGGAGGCATGCCAGTGATAATTATTAAAGTCAAGATAAGTTTATTTGTACAGCCCATTATCACAGTCAGTGTCTAAAACGGTTTTGCGTAAACAATAGTTTTCAACCCAGACAAAACAACATAGGCAAAAACATCCATGCATTCATCCATGACATAAAAATGGCTAAAACTATAATGAAACGAAGGGATAAGGAAATGTAAAATATAATAATTATACCAAAATTTGGCTGCGGAAAATGTTTTTAAATTGACTAATGTGATAAGTCCATTATAGGAAGCTTAATACAGAAAATGGTCCAGCAAAGGTCGAATGGAATAAGCTCCCTTAGATAAGAGGAGAAAAGATCTACTATTAGGATTAGGAAGGTGAAGTGGCCATTATGCAGAGGGGTAGGATGTGGGGCAGCTGGTGATTTTACATTACAAAGCAGGAATGTCACAGTAACTAACATCATTAGCATCTAGCACTAAGCACACTGAGTAAAATGGCAATGTTCTCTGTGCATTTACTTGCCCCTGAAATTTTAACAGTATGACAACTTTGAGAATTTGCTCGGGGGAGCGTTAAAAGTGGCACAGTAAAAAAACAATCAACTCAGAATATACAGTGTACTCTAATATAAAATAGAAATGCAAAGGCTGCAGGATGACTGATAACACACTAAATGCTCACCACTGCAGTGTTTGAAGACAAACAAAAGACAAAACAGATGCCTTGTAAAAGCCTGAAAAAATTATCATCTCATCACCAAAATCAAGGTTTGTAGACTAATTGTACCAATCTATTCTCTGTAAACCTGCTAAGTAGGGCTGGGCTATATCATACCGTTCACGATAATACCAGTGTAATTTTGGGCAACGATAGGAAAATGAAATATCGCGATAGAATATGGGTAAAACGCGCATGCGCAGGGCCTTTACTTTCATACACACATGGCGGCGACGCAGAATGAGAAGAGCAAAAGTGGATCGTTAAATGAAACAGATGAACCAGAATTGGTTTGTAAAAATGCTGCAACTTCAGTGGTGTGGAACTAGTTTAGCTTTCGTCCGTCAGATACACAACAATGCACTATTTTTGGTAGCGCATGCTAGCGGGCCGTCGTTATTACCGTGTTGTTTGGAAAATACGGCACACTTAAAATCAATCCTTTGATTTTTCTGAAAATCGACAGTGCCCCTTATAATCCCATGTGCCATCCCAGTTGTGTTTACTGACCTCGAAACGATTTTATGTTGTACATGGCGCTCGAAAATCTGTCAAATGTTTTAGTACGACTTTGCTAAGCTACGAAGCCGCACCGCTTGATGGATTGTCGGAGCATTACGGCTATATTAGGCAGGCGCCTCACGGAGTGATACGTACTGTATTACCTAATATTACCGTATTGTGTGTGTAACCTCTTTTTAAGTTTTGTGGATATTATACAAGGTTATGCTGAGGATATGTCGGCCAGTTTCCACTGGAAATGCCTTTTGGTTAAACTGTCAGCAAGGAATTTGCACTGTTACATTTTTATATAACTTTTTATATAACTTTTATATAACTTTTATATAACTATAACTTTAACTAAGTGAAAATACATTGATGGGGTTTTTTGCACTAATAAAGTTGTGGAGTTGTAAAGCATTGTCTAGTGTCAATTATATCGTCAGTTATATCGTTATCGCAATAACGTGATAAATATTTTTGGTCATATCGCCCTCCTCTACTGCTAAGTAATGATAACTGTTAAACTAATAGAAAGAAACTTGGTGAGTAGTGACAGAAATGACCTATACTTTTCATCTAACTCTCCCAACTGTATGGGTTGAATTATTGTCACGAAGTCAGAAAGCAGTGAGCCCAACTCTAAAGCCTGTCAGTATACTTCACAATGCTGCTTTTCCTATTAAAATCAACAATGCAAAACCACTTTCATATCCTCCGAGCAGGCTGACATTCAAGTCCCAAAGGGAAATTTTATCACATGATCCCATATCCTCTTCCCTTCCATTCAACAAATGTTGTTTTTCCTTGTTCTGTAGGGTATTAGAATACAGTAGCAACACACCTGCACCATCTGAGAGTTTTCCAAATGGAATTGTTCTGTAGGCCAAGCACTAATTGGTTCTCTCAGATTGAAGGCAGAACCATTGCTCTTCTTCGCTGAGAGTTATGAAGACAGGGTAATTGCTCTCCAACGAGCAGCTCACTTTTCATACATTAGTGAGGCTAACAAGCTACTGTAGTTCGTCTTGTTAAAGGGCAAAAACTCTTTCAAAGCAGAGGGTGGCAAAATTGAAGAGAAGCAAATTTGTGGTCTAGAAATTTAATATGCATACATTTCCCACACAATCAGATTGTATAGGAAAACAAATATTGCAAATATTTTTGAATGCAAGCTCTTGGCTGCAATAAATAGCTTACAGGGAATGAAATATGCTTTTCATATTAATATGAAAAGAGTGTAAATATTTTCTGTTTCATTATGAAACTATGGTGGCACAAATTACATTAGTGAGCGGCCACACTATTGGTAATTAACAGGAAACACTGTCTGAATCCCGAGTGAACAATTGAAGTAAGCTTAGACTGGATCACCGCATCAAAGAACTTAAAGGAGTAGAACTGTAGATAAGAGTAAGCAGGAAAATTATTTTTGCCTGTAGCATACATTTCAAGCACGGTTTACCAATAACTGTAATATTTCTTAATTCCCTACCTTAAGAGTATTTATAGCATTACTTGTAGCATATTTCCAAAAGTAGCAGTTATGGTATACCAGTTGGTTAATCTACCTAATCTAAAC